TAAGATAGACCCAAAAAGGGGCAGAGCAAACCCCCCCAATAAAACAAAAGGGAAAAATAGCCATATCAAGGGGGACTGACCATTGAATAGGGGGGGCACTGCCCAGGGCCTGGGTCATAGGGGGCCCCATGAAATGCTCCTGGCACCTTTTTATAGGCTTTTTTGGGTGTGCTTTGAGTGGGGGGCAAGGACACGGGGGCCCCATGATCCCCTATCCCCGAGGCCCCATGATTGTCATCTCCCCTGGGCCCCAAATTATGTATCAAGATCATGCAAGGTACACCGCTGGGGAATGGAACCAAGCAGCCGACAAAAACTATCAGTTGATTTGGGTGGGCAATTGGGGTAGGGGACAAAAAAAAAACATATCATTTTAAATGTCCATAAGAAGACCCAGGGACCTACACCCAGAACTTCGGTTTTGGGACTGCCGCCCGGTAAAGGTGCCGGGGTAATAGGGGAATTTTCTCGCCGCTCCAAGGGTTTTTGGGCCACCCCAAATTTGGTGAAGTGGAAGCTCCAGGGCAGGCAAGGGAACGCCGCGCAATGGGTCCCAGAGATTCACTACAGCCGCGTAGGACTTTTAGGGAATGCATGATAAAAGTCAACAGGGTTTCAGCCCGGGGGCCGGAGTGTACTGCCGCCCGGGAACACACCCCGCACAAGGGCCGGGGGCACACTACCAATGGTTTTTCGGGGGTGCTTTTCCCCTGAGCTCCACAAGGTGGGGATCCACTTCTACCAGACAGGGAATCTCAGGAAGACAGGAAGTATGTCAGGTACAACAGGAAGTGAAGAAGGTACAGACAAAATTCAGTGTGGAAAGACTAGAAGGAGACATTCGGAAAATGCAGAAAGGAGGTAATAAGATCTTTTTTTATATTTACACCCGTAAACCCCCCGTCATTCCGCCTCTTCCTCCATCATCATGCCCATCCCTCCCCCCCCACCGTCACGCCCTCCCCCTCCCTCCATCTCCCCCGTCCTTTCCTCCACCTCCGCCCTCTTTTCCTCCACCGCACCCCGTCCTTTCCTCCACCGTACCCCCCCCTCTAATCCACCGTCACCCCTCCTCTTCCCACCTCACCCCTCCCCTCCCGTCCCCCCCCACCGCACCCCCCCCCTCCTCCCCCGTACACGCCCGTCTCCCTCGCTCACCGTCCACCTCGGTCACCTCCTCCCCCGTCACCCCCCCCGCCCCCTCTCCCACCCCTCTCCCTCCCGTAACAACAAGGGATGTGTTGGGGTGGGGACTTACATTGGTGGTCAGGTTCCTATAAGGTCAGATTTACGTCTATTTTTCCCCGGAGAGGGATTTTTAGAAGGGGAAACAAAGGGCCTCTACAAGACTCATGATGGGCAATCACCGCCCCCCATCACCCCGGGAAAAAAGGACTTTTTTGGAAAAGGGAAAGCATACGGGAGGCCACCTGATCCCCCATTTACGATAAAAAACATAGAAAAAAAAGGATTCATCATGTGTGTGTTTTTCCCACAATGGATCCAGGCATGGGAACCCCCCAAAGATGCCCCCTCCTCGTTTCCCGGGATTCCACCCGGAAGGGTCACCCATCTCCACCTCTCAGTAGAAAATCCAGTCAGGGGAAACCCACCAGAGAGAGTCCCCGTCCTCTGTATTTCCCAGGTTTCCACCGGAACGTCACAAAAATTCCCTCCCATCTCGGGTAGGAACAACTGCGGGGAGTTATTTTTTTTCCACAAACATGTTTGCTAAAATAAATTTTTTTATATTTTCAGAGTGGACCCCGGGGGATGAAAATATTGATGTTAAAGAAGGAAAAAAAGGGGGAGGGAGTAGGAGTATGGAGGGTTTTTAGAAGGACACAAGGAAAAATGAGGGAAGCCGCCTAATAACATAACCCCCGAAGATGTTCCCCCCCTCTGTATTCTCGGGTTCCCACACAGGAATTTCACCCCCCCCTCACCCACATCAGTAGAGGATCCATCATGGAACCCCCCCAGGGGGATGTCCCCATCCTCTTTTTATTCCGGGATTCCATACGAAGGTCACCCCCATTCCCCACCATGGCAGTAGGTGAAATTCAATTTTTGTATTTTGTTTTTAAAATACACGCATGTTTTTTTACAATGAATGTCTTATTAAAATATTCAGAGGGGAATCCCGGGGATGATATTTATGTAAAAAGAGATAAAAAGGAGAAGAGGAGTATGGAGGATGAAGGAGCGTTCAGGGGGCACACAGATGTCATATTGAAGCCCCCTAATACCAAAAACGCCCATCAGAGAAAATTCCCCATCCTCAAAATTTTCCCGGTTTCCCCACACGGAAGGTCCCCACCATCCCCTCATCATCATAATGGGGAACAATCACTGATATACATTGGGATCTTTACATTATCTGCATTGTTACCAGTGCCCATTTTATTAATTTTTCAGAGTGGAAACCGGGAAGATTCTACATGAGGTTAAAGAAGAGATAAAAGATGAGGGGATGAGATGGAGTGATGGGGAGTCAAGACCCAAAAACACAAAGTCTGTACCGGACACCAGGGTGGAGACACCCACTCAGGAACCCACCGAGATGCCCCCGTCCTCGTAATTCCCCGGATTCACACAGGAAGGTCACACCATCCCTCATATTAAAAGGTTGGTGGGACGGAGGGGTCTAGAAAGGGCTCAGGGGGCGGTGGGTTTCCTTGTGATGTCAAAATAATAAATTTCTTCGTACAGATATATTTTCCTCCTTCTCTTGTGGAGTGGGAGATCCAATCGATATAGTTTTGGGGGTGAAATCAGAAGAAGAAGGGAAGTGAGGGATGATCAGCGTCTTGAGGAGGATAATAACGGGACTTTTTATAAGGGGGGCACTCCTACAGAGATCGCACAGGGGGGTCGAACACTAAATCCTTTCCTCCACCCATACTGTCAGATTTACAGAGTAGGGGGGTACTGGGTGATATGAGCCTGTAATCCCCGGGTCATTTTCCCTAGCTGTTTTCCCCCTCCTGTATTCCCTGGATTCCTTGGGAAAAATTTTCCCTTCTCTGGCTGCAAACAATTTTTTCTCAAATTTGGATTATGGATTCGGGGATAGCTGGCAGCAAAATGGGGATTCCACCATAAGCAGGGCTCAACCTAGACCCCCCGGCGGAGTGTGTGAGGTTTTTCCCCCTCCCGGGCATAGCGGATCCCAAAACAATTCCCCGGGCCCTTATGTCGCCGGGTGGGGGGATATGCTGTAAAAGTCCAGCCCCAAGCCTAGTCCCCGTTCGGGAAAATGGAGGCAGCGGTTGGTTCTCTGAACTTCCCCTGTAACCTCCCACTGATTGCTGAATCCCCAATAGTTAGTCCTGCCCCTTAACTTTATAATTTAATTGACATTACACCCCCCAACCCCTGCACTATATACTCCATGTTTACATTAAAAATACCCCCTGACCCGCACTTATACTCCATGTTGTCATTACATACCCCTGACCCTGCACTTATACTCCATGTTGTAATTTAATACTCCTGACCCCTGCCTTTTTAACCCTCCCCTGCACAAAATACTTACATACCCTGGCTTTGTCCCCCCCCTCCCCCCACTCCTATATTAAAAATATATATATAAAAAAACATCAAAATAATATTTTCTTCTCCTCTGTTCCCCCCCTTTCCCTACCAGCTGGAAAAATTTTAGATGGGAATGATTGTTTGGGAGAAAAGACTTTTACATGGCGATTAATTTTTGACAATCCAGAGCCAATACCCAAAATGATGGTGGTCTTCAGGATGGGGGAGGAGCCAATACCCAATGCTATGGTGGTCTTCAGGATGGGGGAGGAGCCAATACCCCAATGCTAGTTGGTCTTCAGAATGAGTCCAGTCTTCCTCTTGGCCCCCCCCCCCCATCCTCACTCTGACCTCTGATGGGGGCTCCTGTCTAGTAATCCTTCTTTGTCTTTGTATTTTAGTCCATGGCCGGGAGATGAGGAAAACCTCTGGGATTGTCTCACTTTGTCTCCAGACTGGAAAGTAGAAGATGAGGACATCACACAGTATAGTCCAGGAGGAAAACCCGGCTCCCTCCAATGTCCATCCGGCACCACCCAGTGTAGATGGACCATCGGATTCCTCGTATCTGAGGAACCTCAGACTGTGCGGGACCGGGCCGATCTTCCAACAGTGAAGAGCTTCTCCTGTACTGAGTGTGGGAAATGTTTCCGTTCTAAATCCAAACTTATACTGCATAAAAATCTCACAAGGTTGAGAAGCCACATTCCTTTCCTGAGTCCAGTCTTTCCGCACATCAGAGGTCTCACACGCGGAAGAAGTCATATTCCTGTCCTGAGTGCGGGAAATGCTTTCCAGAGAAGTCCAATCTTTTCGCACATCAGAAATCCCACACAGGGAAGGAAGTCATATTCCTGTCCTGAGTGCGGGAAATATTTTTCAAATAAGGCACTTCTTCACAGACATCTGAGGTCTCACACGGTGTGAGAGAAGCCGTTTTTCTTGTTCTGAGTGCGGGAAATGTTTTTCAATGAAGTCACATCTTTCCAGGGACATCAGGGATTGCACATGGCCGAGAAGCCGTATTCTTGTCCTGAGTGCGGAAAATGTTTTTCATGTAAATCCAGTCTTTTCAGACACCAGAGACTGCACACGGGGGGGAAATGTCACTTTCCTGTCCTGAGTGCAGGAAATGTTTTTCTAGTAAATCCAGTCTTTACAGCCATCAGAGATTGCACACGGGGGAGAAGCCGTATTCCTGTACTGAGTGCGGAAAATGTTTTTCAAATAAGTCCAGTCTTTCCTATCATCAGAGTTCGCACATGGATGAGAAGCCATATTCCTGTCCTGAGTGCGGGATGTGCTTTCCACAAAAATCAGAGCTTGTCAGACATCAGAGATCTCACACGGGCGAGAAGCTGTATTCCTGTTCTGAGTGCGGGAAATGTTTTGTAATCAAAGCACAACTTCTCACACACCAGAGGTCTCACACGGGGGAAGAAAAAACCGTATTCCTGTGCTGAGTGCGGGAAATGTTTTTCAGACAAGTCCACTCAAAAGAGACATCAGAGATTACACACGGGTGAGAAGCCGTATTCCTGTCCTGAGTGCGGGAAATGTTTTTCAAGGAAATCACATCTTTCCAGACATCAGAAATCGCACACAGGGAAGAAGCCGTATTCCTGTCCTGAGTGCGGGAAATGTTTTTCAGAGAAGTCCCATCTTTCCAGACATCAGAGATCTCACACGGGGGATAATCCACTTTCCGGTCCTGAGTGAGGGAAATGTTCCTCCTAAAGTCCTGTCTTCCTGGGGGTCCCACACAACCCTGGAGGCGTATTAGTGCTTTGAGTGCGGGAAATGTCTTCTAGATGAATGTTGCTGGACATCCCAGCTCTTATGTGGGGAAGAAGCCCCCCCGATATACACCTCAGATATACTCCATGGCTGATCTTCATCATGGAAAAAACAGTTCATAAGGAGGTCAGAGGTCACCAAAGACGTGGATGAAGTGTGGGACCGGGTTGGCCATTGTTAGCAGGAGAAGAATAAAAATGGCGTCCTGACCTGTCATTGGCTGAGTGCATTTTGTGGTGTCAACATTCACAAACATTTAATAATCTGCTTTTTTAAAAAACAATTAGCATGCGCTCATACTGAGCCATGGGAAGCATAAAAGAACCGTCAAAAGACCTGCGTAACAAGGTGAGGGAACATTATAAGGATATAAAAGGATAGCCAAAGCTTTAAATATTCAGTCAGTGTCTGTGTATAAATAATCAATGAGTTTGTTAGCTCTCACGTGGATGCACTGAGCAGGCTAGATACTGAGCCATGGGGAGCAGAAAAGAACTGTCAAAAGTCCTTTGTAACAAGGTCAGGGAACTTTATAAAGATGGAAAAGGATATAAAAAGATATCCAAAGCTTTAAATATGCAATTAGTGTCTGTGTATAGTCAATGAGTTTGTTAGCTCTCATGTGGATGCACTGAGCAGGCTAGAAACTGAGCCATGGGGAGCAGAAAAGAACTGTCAAAAGACCTGCGTAACAAGATAATCGACACAGGACACATCATCGACACAAGGTAGACATGTCATTTACACAAGGTAGACACGTCATTGACACAAAAAAGACACGTCATCGTTACAAGGGAGGCACGTCATCGACACAAGGAAGACATGTCATCGACACAAGGGAGACACATCATCAACACAAGACACGTCATCGAGACAAGGGAGACACGCCATCGACACAAGACACGTCATCGACACAAGGGAGACACGTCATTGACTCAAGACATGTCATCGACACAAGGGAGACACGTCATTGACACAAGACACGTCATCGACACAAGAGAGACACGTCATCGACACAAGACACGTCATCGACACAAGAGAGACACGTCATCGACACAAGACACATCATCGACACAAGGGAGACTCGTCATCGACACAAGACACGTCATCAACACGAGGGAGACGCGTCATCGACACAAGGGAGGAGCGTAATCGACACAAGGGAGACATGTCCTCAACACCTCATAAATGCTACACAAACTGCCCCTGGCAAAGCACCTTGACCCCACGTTGAGGAGGACGAGGACCTCTTCCCCACAGCACTGTAAGCTGTATGTGGGGCTCTGAGAGCCCAGTGATTATTGGAATCTGGAAGCCCCTTTAATAATGAGGCCATCAGGTACCAACCCCCACATGAAGCCGTATTTCATACCCCATCATCCCCGCCATATATACAGACTGGTAGAAATACCGCTTCTATATACCATGCTTCGACTCCCATTGAAAAGAGGTCCAAATGGGTTAAAGTTCTGGAGTTCATCTGAACAGCCAAAGTTCGGTTCAAAATGAGGTTAAGATCGAGTCGCCAGCTCAGCCCGAGATACCAGCTGCTGCTGAGGGACAGAAATTGTTCATTACTCCAAACCCTGGAACCCTTTGGAGGAGCCCTGGCTGAGAAAGGCTGGACTAGGCAGTCATATATTTCTGTCCCTCTTGGTGGGAGTGGAGGTGACCCCTATATGAGGACATACAGTCCATACACACCCAGCACAAGGTCAGGGTCACACTACCAGATGGTTCTCGAGGCTGCAGTTCCTCTGAGCTCCACAAGGTGGGGATCTCACGTCTACCCAGACAGGAAGTCTCTATGGAAGACAGGAAGTGATGTCAGGGACAAGCAGGAAGTGATGTCAGGTATACATAGGAAGTTCCAGGTGAGAGGTGAGTCGTGGAGGAAGTAGAGAGGAGACATTGCTGGAAGTGGCAGCAGAGGAGGTACTAAGATCTGATTTTATATTTACATACAGTAACCCCCCGTCATGTCCGTCCTCTTCCTCCACCGTCATGTCTGTCTTCCTCCACCGCCGTGCCCGTCCTCTTCGCCGCATCTGTCCTCTTCCTCCACCGCCGCGTCCGTCCTCTTCCTTCATCGTCGCGTCTGTCCGCCATGCCCATCCTCTTCTTCCACCGCCGCGTCCATCCTCTTCCTCCACCGCCGTGCCCGTCCTCTTCCTCCACTGCCGCGTCAGTCTTCTTCCTCCACCGTCACGTCCGTCCTTTTCCTCCACTGTGACATCACACTGACCTCACCACTCCTCCTCCCAATGTCCCTCCATCCGGAGTCAGAGAATCCTATGATATCACACTGACCTCACAGCTCCTCCTCCCAATGGTCCTCTATCCAGAGTCAGAGAATGCTATGACATCACACTGACCTCACAGCCCCACCTCCCAATGGTCCTCTATCCAGAGTCAGAGAATCCTATGACATCACACTGACCTCAGCTCCTCCTCCCAATGTTCCTCTATCCTGAGTCAGAGAATCCTATGACAATGAATGTTTTATTAAATATTCAGAGTGGAAACCTCGGGGATAATAAGATTTGTTGGTAAAGAAGAGTATAAAGAGGAGTATGGAGTGATGGAGGAGTGTTGTGAAGGACACAAGGATCTGATGGAGCCACCTAATACCAGGAACCCACTAGAGAGGTGTCCCCGTCCTCTATATTCCCGGGATTCCACACAGGAAGGTCACACCATCCCTCACCATCATCAGGTAGATGATTAATGATCACTGGTAGTCATACTTTATACACAGCATGTTTGTTACAATTAATGTTTTTTAATATATTGCAGAGTAGAACCCTCAGGGATGATAATATTGATGTTAAAGAAGAGTATAAAGAGGAGGATGAGGAGTATGGAGTGATGGAGGAGCTTTCAGAAGGACACAAGGATATGATGGAGCCACCTAATAACAGGAACCCACCAGAGAGATGTCCCCGTCCTCTGTATTCCCAGGATTCCACACAGGAAGGTCACACCATCCCTCACCATCATCAGGTAGATGGATCCAGTCATGGGAACCTACCAGAGAGATGTCCCCGTTCTTTGTATTCCTGGGATTCCACACAGGAAGGTCACACCACCCCTCACTATTACAAGGTTGGTGGGACGGAGAATCTAGAACATGGACTCATGGAGACAATGTGCGGATTTTCTATGTGATGTCACAATAATAAATCTTCTATCTTACAGATGATATTTTCTCTCCTTCTCTTGATGTAGAGTGGAGATCCAATCGATATAGAATTTGAGGTGAAATCAGAAGAAGAAGAGGCGTATGTGAGGGATGATCAGCAGTCTATGGAGGAGGATGGAATAACGGGGACATTTATAGAGGAGGACACTCCTACAGAGATCAGCACAGGTGGGTCATGAACACTAAATCCATTCCTCCACCCATAATGCTCACTGATTGGTCACTGACCCATTTCCTAGTTCCTTTGGGGGTGGAATTGTGCGCTCCTCAGAGACCAAGCTGCCTGATGTGGACAAAGTCCTGGTTTGGGGGAAGCAATCAGCTCCTGTCTAGTAATCCTCTTTGTCTTTTAGTCCATGGCCGGGAGATGAGGAAAACCTCCGAGGATTGTCTCACTTTGTCTCCAGACTGGAAAGTAGAAGATGAGGACATCACACAGTATAGTGCAGGAGAAAACCCGTCTCCCTCCAATGTCCATCCGGCACCACCCAGTGTAGATGGACCATCGTATGCCTCTTACCCTGAGGAACCTCAGACTGTGCGGGACCGGGCCGGGCTTCCAACAGGGAAGAGCCTCTCCTGTACTGAGTGCGGGAAATGTTTCCAATCTAAATCCCATCTTAACAAACATCACAAATTGCACACGGGTGAGAAGCCGTACTCCTGTCCTGAGTGCGGGAAATGTTTTGTGCAGAAATCAGAACTTGTTACTCATCAAAGGTCCCACACGGGGGGAAAAACCGTTTTCCTGTTCTGAGTGCGGGAAATGTTTTTCAGATAGGTCTGTTTATTATTATCATCAGAGATCGCACACGGGTGAGAAACCATTTTTCTGCTCTGAGTGCGGGAAATGTTTCGCTAGAAAAGCACATCTAGTTACACATCAGAGGTTTCACACGGGAGAAAAACCGTATTCCTGTTCTAAGTGCGGGAAATGTTTTTCAGTTAAGTCCCATCTTAACACACATCAGAGGCTGCACACGGGAGAGAAGCCGCATTCCTGTCCTGAGTGCAGGAAATGTTTTTCACAGAAAGCCAATCTGTACAAACATCAGAGATCTCACACGGGGGAGAAGCCGTTTTCTTGTTCTGAGTGCGGGAAATGTTTTTCACAGAAGCCACATCTTTACAAACATCAGAGATCTCACACGGGGGAGAAGCCACTTTCCTGCCCTGAGTGCAGAAAATGTTTTTCAGATAAGTACACTCTGCATTATCATCAAAGATCGCACACGGGGGAGAAACCATATTCCTGTCTGGAGTGCGGGAAATGTTTTTCATTCCAGTCCAGTCTTTGCAGACATCAGAGACTGCACACAGGGGAGAAGACACTTTCCTGTCCTGAGTGAGGGAAATGTTCCTCACTGAAGTCCTGTCTTCCTATACATCAGGGATCCCATTAATAACGACTCCGCCTCCACATTCCAGACAAGGGATTTTCCTGACCAATCAGTTTTTTACCTTTTTTACGATTTCCTGTTTTTTTTTTTACTGCAATCTTGTAAAAAATAAAATGACAATAAAATGTTTGAAGAAATAAATTGTGTGTTTCGGGTGAATGATGACAAACTTCCGTGTCCAAAAAATTGCTCATAGGTAACACTTTAAAAGCCTTCACAGGTCAACATTTTGGAGTCACCTGGAGTTGGGGCCCTAGGCAGTAGCTGACTACATCCGAAGAGTTACATTGGTGACCGATGGGAGAAGGACCCCCTTATATCAGTGGTCAGTGTAGTGGTCCCTTACATTGGTGGCCGATGGGAGAAGGACCCCCTTATAGCAGTGGTCGGTGTAGTGGTCCCTTACATTGGTGACCGATGGGAGAAGGACCCCCTTATATCAGTGGTCAGTGTAGTGGTCCCTTACATTGGTGGCCAATGGGAGAAGGACCCCCTTATAGCAGTGGTCGGTGTAGTGGTCCCTTACATTGGTGACCGTTGGGAGAAGGACCCCTTATATCAGTGGTCAGTGTAGTGGTCCCTTACATTGGTGGCCGATGGGAGAAGGACCCCCTTATAGCAATGGTCGGTGTAGTGGTCCCTTACATTGGTGACCAATGGGAGAAGGACCCCCTTATATCAGTGATCAGTGTACTGGTCCCTTACATTGGTGACCAATGGGAGGAGGACCCCCTTATATCAGCCAGTGTAGTGGTCCCTTACATTGGTGACCGATGGGAGAAGGACTCATAATATCAGTGGTCAGTGTAGTGGTCCCTTACATTGGTGACCGATGGGAGAAGGACCCCCTTATATCAGTGGTCAGTGTAGTGGTCCCTTACATTGGTGACCGATGGGAGAAGGACCCCCTCATATCAGTGGTCAGTGTAGTGGTCCCTTACATTGGTGACCGATGGGAGAAGGACCCCCTCATATCAGTGGTCAGTGTAGTGGTCCCTGACATTGGTGACCGATGGGAGAAGGACCCCCTTATATCAGTGGTCAGTGTAGTGGTCCCTTACATTGGTGAACTAATGGGAGACCCCCTTATATCAGTGTAGTGGTCCCTTAGATCCTCATGAAAAAGTCCCTGAAAGACAGAAATTGTTGCTGAAGGAACCTCTTTGGAGGACCCCCTAGAACTCTTTGGAGGACCCCTGACTGAGAAAGGCTGGACTAGGCACTCATATATTTCTGTCCCCCTTGGTGGGAGTGGAGGTGACCCCTCTATAAGGATCTACAGTCTATACACACCCAGCACAAGGCCGGGGACACACTACCAGACGGTTCTCGGGGCTGCAGTTCCTCTGAGCTCCACAAGGTGGTGATCTCACTTCTACCCAGACAGGAAGTCTCTATGGTAGACAGGAAGTGATGTCAGGTAGAGCCAAGAAATTCCATATAGTACGAGGTAGAGAGGAGATATTGCTTGAAGTGGCAGCGGAGGAGGTAATAAGATCTGATTTTATATTTACAGGAAACTCCAAATAATTCTTACTTCAGTTTGTCAAAATTATCTCTCTATATGTAAGCCGGAATAGATAAAATGACAACACGACTGAGGATGGAGGAGGACCGGAGTCACGTGACTGAGAGGATACTAAACCTCACCCTGGAGATCATCTACCTGCTGACCGGAGAGGTGAGGAGGATTCTGGGAGGTCACATGACATCACTCTCATCTCTATTAATAAAACACAGACCTGACCGGAGAGGTGAGGAGGATTCTGGGAGTCTAACATGATGTTCCTATTAGTTCCCCAATACAGAGATTTCCTCTTCTGAAGTCAGGTGATCATATGACCATCACAGTGACTCCCTAAACCCTGAGAGATACAACATGGAGAAGACTCTAGAAGTCACAAGAAGATGATGGAGCTGCTGACAGGAGAGGTGAGCGGTGCCGGGAATTCTGGGACATTCTCCAGTAACAGACAAGGGGATGTGTCTGGATGGTGACTGTATCATTGTGTGTGTCAGGTTCCTATAAGGTGTCAGGGTGTCACTGTCTATTTCTCCATGGAGGAGTGGGAGTATTTAGAAGGACACAAGGACCTCTACAAGGACGTCATGATGGACAATCAGCAGACTTTGAGTTTTGTGAGGAAGGAATTTCCCCGGAATGAGATGATATTGAACATCGCCCTGGAGATCCTCCACCTGCTGACTGGAGAGGTGAGTGTAATGAAGGGGTTAAATCTGACTCGGCTGTACACTGGGAGGGATTCAGAGTCACTTCAAGTCTTTTGATGTTCTGCTAATCTATGATGTCATACACACAAGCAAGGCTTTTCCTGTCAGAGAGTAGGTGTAGGAATTCACCCCCACCCCCACCCTGGGCTTTAACAGTGGGAGGGTCTTAAATGGGCGTTGTTAAATAAAACCAGTGTTATGTAATGTACAGAGTGCAGGGTTCAGGGGTGCACTGCATACAGAGTGCAGGGTTCAGGGGTGCGCTATGTATAGAGTGCAGGGTTCAGGGGTGCGCTGCATACAGAGTGCAGGGTTCAGGTGTATATTACACACAAGGTGCAGAGTTTAGGTGTGCATGATATGGAAGGTTTAGGACAAAGTGACGGGTTTAGGAGTGTGCTACATAAAGTGCGCAGGGTTCAGGAGTGCACTGTGTACAGAGTGCAGGGTTCAGGGGTGCGCTGTGTACAGAGTGCAGGGTTCAAGGGTGAGCTGAGTGCAGGGTTCAGGGGTGCGCTGCGTACAGAGTGCAGGGTTCAGGGGTGTGCTGCATAGAGAGTGCAGGGTTCAAGGGTGCGCTATGTACAGAGTGCAGGGTTCAGGTGTATATTACACACAAGGTGCAGAGTTTAGGTGTCCATGATATGTAAGGTTTAGGACAAAGTGACGGGTTTGGGAGTGTGCTACATACAGTGCACAAGGTTCAGGAGTGTGTTGTGTACAGAGTGCAGGGTTCAGGGGTGTGCTTTGTACAGAGTGCAGGGTTCAGGGGTGTGCTATGTACAGAGTGCAGGGTTCAGGGGTGAGCTGAGTGCAGGGTTCAGGGGTGAGCTGAGTGCAGGGTTCAGGGGTGAGCTGAGTGCGCGGGGTTCAGGGGTGCGCTGCGTACAGAGTGCAGGGTTCAGGGGTTCGTTGCGTACAGAGTGCAGGGTTCAGGGGTGAGCTGAGTGCAGGGTTCAGGGGTGCGTTGCGTACAGAGTGCAGGGTTCAGGGGTGAGCTGAGTGCAGGGTTCAGGGGTGCGTTGCGTACAGAGTGCAGGGTTCAGGGGTGAGCTGAGTGCAGGGTTCAGGGGTGCGTGCGTTGCGTACAGAGTGCAGGGTTCAGGGGTGAGCTAAGTGCAGGGTTCAGGGATGAGCTGAGTGCAGGGTTCAGGGGTGCGCTGCGTACAGAATGCAGGGTTCAGGGGTGCGCTGCGTACAGAATGCAGGGTTCAGGGGTGCGCTGTGTACAGAATGCAGGGTTCAGGGGTGTGCTGCGTACAGAGTGCAGGGTTCAACCTCTCCTCACCTCTGACCTCTGCACCCTCTACCTTACCTGCACACAAGTACTATGAATACATGAAGTGTCCGTACTCTATGATATCCAGTTATAGCACAAGATGGCGGCATTGGTTATAGAAGAGAGCAAAGTCAGCTTTAGTCCAATCAGTGGAGATCAGAGATCTATGACTGCCGGCATGCCACGCCCACTGACCGCCAGATCCATGGGGAACATCTACTGGTGGGTCAGTGAGCCTTACTAGGAGAACATTAGTGACCCTATTATAGGACTTCTAGAAGGAGCTACAAATCCGACCCCATTGTAGTCCCGTCATTGGATGGAGATGTCCGTCCTTTGCTGAATCGGGAACATTGCGGCCAATCCCTGGAGGACACATCTAGAGCTGACCATAGAGGTGAGGGATGATGGGAGAGTGAGATTTATCTTTGTATCACACAGAACTGTAAAGGAGTCATGAAGAAATCTACCGACAATGAGACCAGAAGGAGATCTCATCATCGTATGACCACAAGATCCTCGAGAATCCAGAATCTCATCACCATTCCCCCACCTCCATCCCTGATCCCTACAAGACAGAAGGTTCTAGAAGTCACCAAGAAGATGATGGAGCTGCTGACAGGAGAGGTGAGCGGTGCCGGGAATTCTGGGACATTCTCCAGTAACAGACAAGGGATGTGTCTGGATGGTGACTGTATCATTGTGTGTGTCAGGTTCCTATAAGGTGTCAGGGTGTCACTGTCTATTTCTCCATGGAGGAGTGGGAGTATTTAGAAGGACACAAGGACCTCTACAAGGACGTCATGATGGACAATCAGCCGCCCCTCACATCACCGGGTAAGAGGAGACTTTATTGGAAAGGAGAGAGCAGTACGGAGGGTCCACCTAGATCCCCCATCATCTGATAAACACATAGAAACAATGGATTCAGTCAGTGTGTGTGTTTCCTACAGATGGATCCAGTCATGGGAACCCACCAGAGAGATGTCCCCATCCTCTGTATTCCCGGGATTCCACACAGGAAGGTCACACCATCCCTCACCATCACCCGGTAGATGATTGAAAATTATTGGTGGTTCTGATTTATATACGGCATGTTTGTTACAATGCATTTTTTATGATATATTCAGAGTGGAATCCTCGGGGATGATATTATTGTTCCTAAAGAAGAGTATAAAGAGGAGGATGATGAGTATGGAGTGATGGAGGAGTTTTCAGAAGGAAAAGAGGAAGATCTCCACATCACTCACTATTACAAGGTTGGTGGGATGGAAAATCTAGAACATGGACTCATGGAGACGATGTGTGGATTCTCTATGTGATGTCACAATAATAAATCTTCTATCTTACAGATGATATTTTCTCTCCTTCTCTTGATGTAGAGTGGAGATCCAATCGATATAGAATTTGAGGTGAAATCAGAAGAAGAAGAGGCGTATGTGAGGGATGATCTGCAGTCTATGGAGGAGGATGGAATAACGGGGACATTTATAGAGGAGGGCACTCCTACAGAGATCAGCACAGGTGGGTCATGAACACGAAATCCATTCCTCCACCCATATTGCTCACTGATTGGTCACTGACCCATTTCCTAGTTTCCTTGTGCGCTCCTCAGAGACCAAGCTTCCTGATGTGGGCGGAGTCCTGGTTTGGGGGAACCAATCAGCTCCTGTCTAGTAATCCTCTTTGTCTTTGTATTTTAGTCCATGGCTGGGAGATGAGGAAAACCTCCGAGGATTGTCTCACTTTGTCTCCAGACTGGAAAGTAGAAGATGAGGACATCACACAGTATAGTCCAGGAGAAAACCCGGCTCCCTCCAATGTCCATCCGGCACCACCCAGTGTAGATGGACCATCGGATTCCTCGTATCCTGAGGAACCTCAGACTGTGCAGGACCATGACAGCCTTCCAACAGAGAAAGAGCTTCTCCTGTACTGAGTGCGGGAAATGTTTCCAATCTAAATCCAGTCTTAATACGCATAAAAGGTCTCACACGGGGGAGAAGCCGTATTCCTGTACTGAGTGCGGGAAATGTTTCAGTGTTAAATCCAGTCTTAATGATCATCGGAGATCTCACACGGGGAAGAAGGCACATTCCTGCCCTGAGTGCGGGAAATGTTTTAATTTTAATTCCAGTCTCATTACGCATTTAAGATCTCACACAGGTGAGAAGCCACATCCCTGCTTTGAGTGCGGGAAATGGTTTGTAACAAAATCGCAGCTTGTCAGTCATCATAGAACCCACACAGGAGAGAAGCCTCATTCCTGTCCTGAGTGCGGGAAATGTTTTTCAGTAAAGTTGAATCTTTTCGCACATCAGAAATCTCACACGAGGGAGAAGCCTCATTCCTGTCCTGAGTGCGGGAAATGTTTTTCACGGAAGTTCAGTCTTTACATACATCAGAGATCTCACACAGGGGAGAAGCCGTATTCCTGTCTTGACTGCGGGAAATGTTTTTCAGCAAGGTCCAATCTTTACATACATCAGAGATCTCACACAAAGAAGAAGCCGTATTCCTGTTTTGAGTGCGGGAAATGTTATTCAGCGAGGTCCAATCTTTCCAAACATCAGAGATCTCATGGGGGAGAAGCCTGAGTGAGGGAAATGTTCCTCCCTGAAGTCCTGTCTTCCTGGCTGTACATCAGGGGTCCCACACAACCCTGGAGGTATATTAGTGTCTTGAGTGCGGTAAATGTCTTCTAGATGAATGTTGCTGGACATCCCAGCTGTTGTGGGGAAGAAGCACACCCTGGGGTGTTTAAACGCAGAGCGGTATCTAAATTAGAAACCAAATGGATATTTGATCTCCGCTCTTTATCTCCACTAGGTTTAAATGTCGATCTCGACATTCATCGTTTTATTGATAATAGCTAAGGCGTACCCCAGTTCATTTATCACCCCTTTTTATATATACCCCATTGGATACATTATTTTATTTTATATTTTATATCTTTTAATATCTTGTCCTCTTCACATGCGTTTTAGATTTACTTTCACCTTTCATTTACCTCCTTTTTAGGTGGTTTTAGTTGATTTCCCCCCCAGTGTTCTTTTAGATGGCTTTTAATGATATTATTGCCATCTAATTGTTTATATATTTTATAGAGAGTATTAACCACTATGTGCTGATGCCCCTCGTTTATGAGTTCCTACCATTTTATAATATTTTTTTTTATGTTCTACTATTGATATGTTCTTCACATTTTTACCCTTTTGAGATATTTATATCTACATAAGATCCCTTTTTCATTTTTATCCTATTGGTTATTTTCATTTATACTTTAAATATTTTTTATTTTCTTCTTTTTTTCCATGGATCTGTTTATTGTGTTTATCTATATGGTCTGCTTCTATGTTTTTATCTTATCAGTTAGTGAACAACGCCGGCCACAGATGTGTTGAAAATCGGCTGATTTTTGCACCGTTAGTGGGTTAATAAACAGCTTGTTTTCCTCATGTCCATGTCCGGAGTTTTCCTGGTATTCCCAAAGTTGCTACTACAGTATCTGTCAGTCTTGCAATGCCTCATGTGACGTGTAGATTGGCAACAGTTGGAGGGGCGCCAGTTTGACACCCGTGTTGTAGAGGATCGTTCCAGCCTGGAGGGGGCATTGTCAGGCCCCGTCCAACGGGATCTCTAGTGGTCCACAGCATGGGATTCCCCAGGACGCGGAGTCTAAGTCCCAGTCTGCCTTTTCACCAGAGCCCCTGATGGTGGGGATGGACTTGGTGCAAGACTGGAACCAGGTCGCGCCCCTGGGCGCACCCAGCTATGGTAGAGGGGTCCCGCTGAGGGTATGTGCCCGGGATGAGCCTGCTGTGAAGGGGCTGACGGGGCCAGCTCCGAGCGGGATGGATGGATGACCGCTAGGAGTGAGCGTGGTCAGACTAGCCGGGTCGGTAACAGTGGGGACAGGTGCGGTACCAAGCAGTAGGCAAAGAGTAGTCAGGTCACACGCCGGGTTCAGTAACAGAGGGTCCAAATAGCAGTAACTACAGGCAGAGGAATGGTCAGGGAGTCGAGTCAGGGGGTCATAAGTCAGCAGGCAGAGGGTCAGCATACAGGAGCACAGGAACAAGTCAGGGACAGGCGGTTTATAAGTCAGGACCATTATTGGTGCCAGGCGCGCGCCCGAGTGCGCATGCGCGTCCGCAATTGCCGCCGCGGACGGCCAGGTCCTACTGCCCGCCCGCTAATGTACCTGGGCGATCCGCGCATGCGCAGATTCACGCGCCGCGGCGAAGACCGGGATCCCTGACAGGCATGCTGCCGAATCTACTGCCAGAGGCCTCAGGAGGGCCCGAATGCTGAGACCTGGGTTCTGCCAAGAGCTGACTGAGGGGTCGTCTACTGAAGGTCTGGTCTGGTATCATGGAGGAAGGCTGCTAGATACTTCTGGGCCTTGTGATTACAGACACCCCTAAAAGTCCTGAGAGACTGTTTGCTACATAACCCCCCTCTGGTGCTAGAGAGTCAGCTGCGGGTCTAGATAAAAGAGACCCCGGCTGGTGTTCTGAAGAGCTTTGTCCACTTAATCTCCTGCTACTACTGCTAATACTACTACTACCTTCCAGCTGAAGTGTACTGTTGTAATGCAGCACAAACTTGGTGGTAGTTTATGGTAAGGAGTCCCTGTCCTCACCTGGACCTCCTCCTTGTATTTGGAGGGTCCCACCTCATCCCTTCACTCTGTCCAAGTTCTCCAAAAATGACAACACAACCTCCCCAAACCCCCTAGAGGTCATTGAAGAAACGTGTGAATGAGCTAATGTGCCTGGTGGGGGGGGAAAAGCTATTGGGTGAGACCTGGACCAATGGGAGAAGGATCCTCTTATATCAGTGGTCAGTGTAGTGGTCCCATACATTGGTGACCGATGGGAGAAGGACCCCCTTATATCAGTGGTCAGTGTAGTGGTCCCGTACATTGGTGACCGATGGGAGAAGAACCCCCTTATACCAGTGGTCAGTAGGAGGACATTCTTACCTTGTTATGAAGTGGAGATACTACCTTCCTTACAGATCTTTCATACCAGCTGTTACTGGAAGACAAAAATTGCTCATTGCTCCAGGAACCCCTAGAACCCTTTGGAGGAACCCTGGCTGAGAAATAACTCAACACACCTCCATTAATGTCTAAACCACTGGCAACAAAAATGAGTCCACCCCTAAGTGACAAGGTCCAAATTGGGCCCAAAGTGTCAATATTTTGTGTGGCCACCATTATTTTCCAGCACTGCCTTCACCTTCTTAGGCATGGAGGTCACCAAAGCTGCATAGGTTGCCACTGGAGTCCTCTTCTACTCCTCCATGACGTCATCACAGAGCTGGTGGATGTTAGAGACCTTGAGCTCCTCAACCTTCCATCTTCTACTCCTCTATGACATCATCACGGAGCTGGTGGATGTTAGAGACCTTGCGGTCCTCCACCTTCCATTTGAGGATGCACCACAGATGCTTAATAGGGTTTAGGTCTGGAGACATGTTTGGCAAGTCCATCACCTTTACCCTCAGCTTCTTTAGTAAGGCAGTGGTGGTCTTGGAGGTGTGTTTGGGGTGGTTATCATGTTGGAATACTGCCCTGCGGCCCTCTCTGAAGGGAGGGGATAATGCTCTGCTTCAGTATGTTACAGTACATGTTAGCATTCATGGTTCCCTCAATGAACTGTAGCTCCCCAGTGCCGGCAGCACTCATGCAGCCCCAGACCATGACACTCCCACCACCATGCTTGGATGTAGGCAAGACACACTTGTCTTTGTACTCCTCACCTGGTTGATGCCACACATGCGTGACACCATCCGAACCAAATCAGTTGATGTTGGTGTCATTAGTCCACAGGACATGGTTCAAGTAATCCATGTCCTTAGTCTGCTTGTCTTCAGCAAACTGTTTGCGGGCTTTCTTGTGCTTCATCTTTAGAAAAGGCTTCCTTCTGGGATGACAGCCATGCAGACCAATGTGATGCAGGGTGCGGCGTATGGTCTGAGCACTGAGAGATGACCCCCCACCCCTTCACCCTCTGCAGCAATGCTGGCAGCACTCATACGTCTATTTCCCAAAGACAACCTCTGGATATGACGCTGAGCACGTGCACTCAACTTCTTTGGTGGACCGTGGCAAGGCCTGTTCTGAGTGGAACCTGTCCTGTTACACCGCTGTATGGTCTTGGCCACCGTGCTGTAGCTCAGTTTAAGGGTCTTGGCAATCTTCTTATAGCCTAGCCCTAGGCCATCTTTATGTAGAGCAACAATTCTTTATTTCAGATCCTCAGACAGTTCTTTGCCATGAGGTGCCATGTTGAACTTCCAGTGACCAGTATGAGAGAGTGAGAGCGACAACACCAAATGTAACCCACCTGCTCCCCATTCACACCTGAGACCTTGTAATACCAACGAGTCACATGACACCGGGGAGGGAAAATGGCTCATTGGGCCCAATTTGGATCTTGTCACTTAGGGGTGGACTCACTTCTGGGAGATTCCGGATATATATATATATACATTCTATACAGTCCGGGGGAGGGGGGACTCACTTCTGGGGGATACTGTATATTTCTGTCCCCCTTGGTGGGAGTGGAGGTGACCCCTCTATGACATACAGTCCATACACACCCAGCACAAGGCTGGGTCACACTACCAGACGGTTCTCGGGGCTGCAGTTCCTCCGAGCTCCACAAGGTGGGGATCTCACTTCTAGGGTGGGGAGACATATAATATCTGTCCCCTTGGAGGGAGTGGAGGAACCCCAACTATGACATACAGTCCATAACACACCCAGCACAAGGCTGGGCTCACCAACCATACGTTCTCCCAGACAGGAAGTCTCTATGGAAGACAGGAAGTGATGTCAGGTAGAGCCAAGAAATTCCATAAGGTAGGAGGTAGAGAGGAGACATTGCTGGAAGTGGCAGCGGAGGAGGTAAGAAGGTCTGATTTATATTTACAAGAAACTCCAAATCATTCTTCAGTTTGTCAAACTTATCTCTCTATAAGAAAGCCGGAATAGATAAAATGACGACATGAATGAGGATGGAGGAGGACCGGAGTCACATGACTGAGAGGATACTAAACCTCACCCTGGAGATCATCTGCCTGCTGACCGGAGAGGTGAGAAGGATTCTGGGAGGTCACATGACGTCACTCTCATCTCTGTTAATAAAACACAGACCTGACCGAAAGGTGAGGAGGGTTCTGGGAGGTCACATGACGTCACTCTCATCTCTATTAATAAAACACAGACCTGAGCGGAGAGGTGAGGAGGGTTCTGGGAGGGTCACATGACGTCACTCTCATC